ATCAAACTTGGCTATTAAAATGGAAAACTGTGCTATGGTCTTGGAACAGATGAATTATACCTCTGATCTAAATTCTTTAGTTACTTTGGAAAGAATAGTAAGACTATTACCTCAAGTTATCCAAGCCCAGTGGGCGGACCGGGTGGATGAATTGACGGAAGATAATAGAGAACCGACATTTGACGAGCTTACCCAATTTATAGCATCCCGAGCGAGAGTAGCTAATATTAGGTTTGGACGGTTAGCGAATCGTCCGAGAAAGGGACACAACCTAAAGACAAATTGTCACTTGCAATTGGAGCAGGATAATAATTCGAAAGAGAGAGAGAGAGCTAAATGCAGTGTGTGTTCCCTGGACCATCCTATTTATAAATGTCCAACATTTTTAGCGCTTAACGTTCAAGAGAGATGGTCTCAAGCAAGAGTTAATGGCGTTTGTTTCGTCTGCCTTATACAAGGACATAGGGCCAGGGAATGCAAGATGACAAGGCCCTGTAACGTTGACAGTTGTGAGAAAAGACATCACACTCTGCTGCATATCAACTCGACAAGCAACGGTGTAAATAATAAATCTGGAACCCAGAATTGCTGTGGACGTACTAAATCCCTAAGTAGTCAAGTGTGCTTAGGAAAGATTCCTGTGCGGTTGATGTTGGGAAACGCCGAAATGGTGGGTTATGCCTTGTTGGATAACGGGTCTGATGTGACGTTGATAAAATCAAGCTGTTCGAGGTACCTCGGGCTGAAGGAAGATCGAACGTCAGTGGTAGTAGAGGCCGTGAGTGGTAATAGGACAATGACGGTCACAAGGACACCTTTTGAGGTATATTCATTAGATCGGTTCGAACATGTTACGATCGAAGGAGCTCTGATTGTGGCAGGTATACCAGGTCATAAGCCAACAAGGGAGGCGGTGAACAACCTAGTTAAGGGGCCACATTTAAGGGATGTACCAATAGATAACTTAGACTCTGAAGAAGTTCTGCTGTTGATTGGTGCAACAGTTGAATCAACAGAAAATAGACAAGGAACTGTCAGCTAGGCAGATTCAGTGGCATTTTAACCCGCCCTCATCCAGCCATAGGGGTGGAGTCTGGGAGAGGATGATTAGGTCCATACGCCGGTTGCAATTAAACGCAACTCAATTTCGTAAATGTGCCCTTCAGCTTAGCAAACAATCAGAATGAGTCGGGAATTATTACATCCGCCATCTTCGTAAGCAATGGTGGTCGGCTTTCTTCGTTCTGTGCTTCTTTCAGATATTTCTTTTGTGTAGCTACGGAATTTGATGTTTCAGTGTGCTAAAATTCAAAAGTTAGTGTAATACTCTGAACCTTGGAGCAAAGTTTTTCCTGATTTTGCTTTGTTTTCTGGGTTTTATCTGCTGCTAATGAAGTCACTGTATTTATTCAGCTAAGCTGGCTAGTACTAACATAAGACCTTATGATTTCAAACGACAATCGGTTATGTTTTACCTTGTTTTCTAGATATCCGAAGCCGAAGTTCGTTTTTATTTAGCTAAAATAATTGTTGCTGCCGCCTGTGACTCTAACTGTTCACATGTTCGTTCCTAACTGTCCTTTATGATGTTATCGGCAAAATGAAAGGAAACATTCTGCGTTTTTTAATTTTTCTTCAGTATTATGGACAACACTATTCCACCAACGAGTCAAACTAATACAGAGTGCCCAGCAGTAGGGTATATCGGTACTGATTTCGAAAGGAACCAGACTTCCGACAACTATAGATGAAGTCACAGATGCTACCAATCTATTGCAGAGGGTTTGTTATGAAAAATATGCCATATAACAGTAATAGAGGGGTTGTACTCATTACTCAGTGCGTTAAAGCAAGCTTAACATTGAAAAGCCGGGAATCTGCTACCAGTGTCTAGTGTATGTTTGCTGTTTTGGCCATAAAAGGTAGCCGAAGGGTCATGATCAGGGAGTAAAAAGGTAATTAACTGTTATTAAGCTCACTTTTTTATAGATCGTATTTCACTACTCGCAAATATGCGTTTTCTTACGGTATGATTTCAAGTGGTACCTAATATGTTCACCCTCACGATGAAAAGTACCTGCAAATTTTCACCTCCATATTCGAATTATTTTTGGACAACTGTCTTACAGTCTGAGTGCTTCGCACGCCCCGAGAAACTCTATTTCTACAGCATTCGTAGTTCCAGTATAACTTTGATGATGTCACAGGTATTCAGTGTTTGACAACGCTTCTATCAGTAACACCTTCTAATATATTTCGTTCCCGCCCAGAGAAATCAAAAGACAGAGTCGAGGAGATTGGAACAGTGTATTTGACGATAACCAAAATATCGGAATTCTCTGATCTAATCTGGCTAGCGATTGCGGTTGATGTTGAGCACGGCGTTACCACACGTGATCTGGTGCGGATGCCTGACCGAGCGCCTTCAGCTAGATGAGTCCACTAAAACATATGGTCAGCATCCAATGTCGAAAACTTAGTGCTATTTATTTTGGGGATTTATTTACCGCCACAGTAGCTACACCGCCACCACACCTCTTTTTATTGTTCGATCGATCCTGACGATAAATTTTAAAATCACGTAGTGATACAAGGCAGTCATCCTGTAAATCATTCAACCAAGATTCTTGAACTGTGATGACACCACAATTACGATACGTATTTTGACTAAGTAAGAATTGCGGATAGTCCACTTTGTTGATTAGTGATCGGCAGTTAGAATTTAGTAGCTCGGGAATCGACATATGATTAATGTTCATTCTCTTTAACGCATATTGCCAACCACCACGATGCCTTTTATAGTACTTTTTCGTAACTTGTGCAGCGGAAGGTCGTAGGCTTTTGATAAAAGCGCCTGAATAGGTTATGCGATTAATGGACATAATTGTAAATTAAAACAAATGAAAAACAGATAACTTGTTGAAATAATCAGATGGCAGAAACAGGTAGCCCAGATATTCAAGCAGGCCGCCACCAGCCTTAAATTTGCAGATGTGGTGGAATGTTGCGTGTCAATCAATAATATATGTATCAAAACAATCAGTGCACTTTAATGGAAATTGAAAGCTAATTGGCACAAACCGTAATGAAGCAGTCAAGGCGACTGTTTCCAAACGTCGACCATAGAAGGAGAATGCACACATATGTTGTCAATTTAATTATGAAAGTTAGTCTTAAGTGGTAGTGGAGGATCAGGACAATCAGCCATGTAAACATACTTCCATACATTGTTTAGTACCTGAAGCTGCTCCTGGACGACGTGACGAAGGATGCCGATGGATGTTCATTTCAAGCCGACGTGGAATTTTTGGTTACATAGTCTAATAAGACGTAAGAGTTTATCGACATGGACAGAGAAACAGCAAATTTAGATGACATTATCGACGAAGCACCTATGCATTTCTTTCTGACTCACAACAAACTGAGAGTATTGGTAAATCAGGGTCTATTGACGACGTTTAACCACGATGCAGTGTCGGACATAGAGATTGGAACATAGTGAGTGTCAGGAATGACGGTTTATGAGTTGGATGAAGATTATTTTCATGTATACACAACCACATCGAGAACTAAACTTGGAAATAGCGCTGAATGAGAACAGGATACGCCCTCTGCAGGCCTCAGAATAAGAGAAAAAGGATCTAACCTGACACAGACTTGTTGCATCACTCCCAGTGGTATCGAAGTGAATGGAAGTACTTGTCAGTGACCGAATGAGGGAATACATGAATAAAAACAATGTGCTTTATGTGCCTTAACGTAAATCTCGTTGATTACCATGACATCGGAATATGGGGGTCCATAAGAAGCGATATGAATGCATGCAAACCTCCGGATTGCTTGACAACAACCAGGAATCGGGATGAACATTTGGTTACAATTCAACCTTATAAAATGTCATATCCTGAACGCTTTGCCTCATGATGACTATCAAACATAGAGAGCTTGAACACAAGCTAAAACTACATTGATGATGCTATCACTGAAAATGTAGCCATTTACTTTCTGAGATGACAACTCGGCGTGATCTCTCGAGAACTCTTTTTGAATCGCTTTGACACGTACTCACGGTCTAAACAGGACGATCAGAACATTGTCACACTATCTATCCTAAAAGGAGGCGTAAATCTCTTAGTGCGAATATATGGACGGGAAAAGAAGTAGGTGACGAGAATGAGAAACAGACTGTACGGCGATAGATCTCAAGGCTTGCGATCATTTTCACTCTACTACGAGAGGAGGTGGTCTGGTAATGACACGCAACATACTAATTAATGTAGGTCATCTCAATGCAACCACCACATCAGAAATCACCAGAGTGCTTCATGAGGTGACTTTCGAAAAATTACACATCCTGGTAAGAATACCCAAGTGAATAACCTCCACCTGAAATTCTCCTCTAGTCGAAGCAGACACAGGCCTCGATGCAGAAAACTTGAGGAGGGTATCTGATAATTACTTACTTCGTAATGAATTATCATCTCCATTTTGAACTAGTTGTAACAAATTGATGTCGCGTAACTCATCTACCACTGCAATCACCACAGATGCTACTCTATTTATGGTTCATTTATTATAATTTCCGCTTCCCATTTTATTCTCATACTTCGGTCAGATTGCTAAGTGATAAATTTATTTATCTAATTACTCCTTCAGAAGATCGTCTGCTCTCAGTTCTGCTGCATTTAAATTTCCTCTATGATTTTCTACGTCTCAACTAGTCTACCTTCTATATGGTAATTTGTTGACAGTTGGTGTCAGAAACCCTAATTTCTTAAGAGAAATGAACTCATTCAGATCATAAGTTATACAGACCCACATCATTTAACGAACTGTTTAGAATTAGTGCAGCTCAATAGCAAAGTTAACAATAATCGGAGGTAAGGAAAAACGTGAAACCAAACGGAAGTAGCAATAATGAAGCTCATGGAAATCAACCATATTTTGCAAACTCGTAATATTCGTATTCTGTCTATTGAATATTGGATGCTACTGAATAACGTGTCTTGTTTTTCTGCATTCAAGGAGCGGGGCCGCGTTTGGCGAACTTCGGATCACGAGGTGACACAATGACTAACACCAAAGGTTATCGTCGAGGCACCAGATACTTATTCTCTCGAAAATTCAGGCACCATGGACCTCTGCCGTCTTCGGTTTATATGCGAGTGTATCGACGTGGTGATATCGTAGATATAAAGGGTGATGGTGGTGTCCAAAAGGGTATGCCCCACAAGTCATATCATGGTCGAACTGGTCGCGTCTATAACGTCACTCCACATGCTGTTGGAATAATCGTCAATAAACGTGTCGGGTAAATTGTTTTGGCTTACTAAATTTCATTTACAGTAATCGTATAATTCCTAAACGAATAAATGTAAGGATTGAACATGTGAAGCCCAGTAAGTGCAGAGAAGATTTCCTCCGTCGTGTGAAAGAGAATGACGTAAAAAGACGGGAAGCAAAGGAAAGAAATGTGTTTGTCCAACTGAAGCGACAGGTAAGTTGTCCCATTTTCGTTTATCATATTTGTCTTAGCCTGCCCAGCCAAGGATAGCTCACTTCGTAAAGACCAAAAATAATCCAGTTGTCACTGTCCATCCGTTACCTTATGAACTCATTGCTTAAATCAAATATAATTGTTAATGGTCTGTATTTCTTTTAATTGTCGTACGTTTGTGTAGGTTGTAAAAGTGATAAACAATACGCTCTTTTGAAGATTAGTTAGTTGAGTTTGTCGAGAACAAGTAGTTTCATGTGACTGTTGACTGCTATATGGGTTTACTAGTCCACGTGTACAACAAAATACCTTTAAATGTAGTTTAAATATGTAGAAAAACTGCCGAAAAGACAACTTGTGTGGAAACGTGCGGGGGCTTAGATTTTGTGCAGCGAGATGCTTTCAACCGACGCAGTTGATACTTTTATCTACCTTATTTATGATGCTTCCGTACCTCAAAACAATGGTCGTGCTCATTTTCTCACAAGTCATCAGTTTGTTTTTTTCAGGAGATTTGAATGGTCTGAGATTACCTAGACATGTTTTGTAGGGTAAGTTCCCCATGCTTTCCGGCTTATATTATGACTCAGAATACATGATGGGTAAACGGCGGGTTTGAAACTATTCAGTTTCTTTTTATTGCTATTATAGGCAGTGTGCGCATTTTTATTTATGGTGTGAAGAAATAATGCAATACTTGCTGCAGTTGTCTAACCCTTCTATTTTTTATTTTGGCGTATTGTTAGATTGATACTTCGAACGTCGTATCCTAGGATCCAAATGTTCCATAAATGCTACAATGTTTTCGTCGAGACTGCTTGGTCGATTGGTCTGCATGGATCTAGTAAAGCCATGTTCTATTATCTGACAAAGGCATTCGAATGTCGACCATTTGACAATAGGTTAACATCAGTGACTTGAATATTCCAATGTGAATTAATTTGGTTTCGTTAGTGGCTGAGGAGACAAATTATACGAATATACAAGTTATTTTTGGTCTACAGGTTTCATCAAAGATATGCGTGTTCGTGAGAGATTACTGAATCCAAAATTTTTCGGTGTCTGTTGCCTTAAAGTAAAGGAATAACAGCCTTGCCATAGCTTTGTTACTGGGTGGTTCGTCGCATTTCCTACAGTTATTCGTGACTGATAAGCATGTTTGTGAAGCTAAGTTACTTATTTCGATGCGTGTTCTTCCCTAAGATCTTTTAGTAGATTGTTCGTGTAGGATGTAACACTTCCGTTTATCTCTTTGCTTACTTGTCAGTTCCCGTAAATTTATCAGATATATACAACCATTCAAGTGAGGTTTAGTTTCGAGTGCATTTCCTTCTACAGATTATTCCATAATAGGTATGTAAAGTGACTAGATGAGAAAGCTGGTGAGCTAGAATCACATGAGCTTGGGTTCCTCTAGATCATACACTGAAGGTTGTAGGATATTGTTTAGAATTGGTTTTGTTCCTGGTGGCTCTGTATTAATTGTTGACATCATACTTTGTGGTTGTAAGTAGTAATGTTCGTTTGTCATTTAGACAGTAATGTTTATTCCTTACTACTGTTTCTGATGACTTGATTATAGTTTTAGATTCTAGCCAAATGTTGCCATTTCACTTGTTAGGTTATTAACTATCTAAAGCTCTCTTTGATTGTATCATATTTCCGTACAAATATTTAAAAGTTGTTGAAAACATCTAAATCCTGTATTTTCTCTTGAATTCACATCTTTTCTATATGAAATGGTGAATTCTTGCTACATGAGATTCACTGAACACAACTCGTTATATCCATCTAATATTATGACTTCCTCAAGTTTATGTAAGATGGAAATACTTCGATGAACGTTAAGGACGGTGTAGTTCATGAAAAATCTAACCTTACTATCATTTCACACGCATTCGTTGGTCTAAAACTGGCGTATTTGTGCTCATATGACGATATCTAGTTAATTGAGTAGTTATGCTTAGCGACATTTACATACATGATCTCACTTCTAAATGTACACGTGAATTTCAACTGGATGACCTGGTATTCTGTACATAACTATTTAAGAATTAATGTATGAGCCTTTCAGATAAGTGTCTTATTCAAACACTACAATGATAATTAGTATACGACTTGATTAGAAAAAACTAAGGATTGTGAGTTCATTGTATTTATATTTTGGAAAGATATGACACCTCAATTTTAGCACCTTTCTGAACGGTTTTTTTCTGAGTTGTCAGTATTGTTTGTAAAGGTGGGGTCAGAATCTGCGATATAATTCATAAATAGTATCAACCTAAGCTAAAGAATTTCAAGGCTCACCACTTAGTGTTTTGGAAGTCTAAAACCAAGTCTGCAAAATAATAACTCCATTACTGAGAATGAGCTTTATTGAAACTTAACATCTTCCCTTTTACAACGCAGTTACTCTTGTTGCTTGGTATTCACTCGACTAGTCACAAAAATAAACACGGATGAACAGAAATTATATTCCAAATAAACAAGGTTGGATGGAAGTAGTGTTTACACCAAGGGAAACGTTATTTATGATTCTACACGAGATTTTTGAGTCTTCTCTAATTATCTGCTAGTGCTGATTGAGCTGGATATGACCACTCAGCCTTCCACAACACAATTTCGCGCGGAATGTGCTTTAATCCAATCTACAATCTGCTAACTGAAACCATTACAAATATTACTTGCAGGTAGTAATCATCTGCGTGTTTGTAAGGCACTGTTACTCCGCATATTTTTATGCAAATAATATTAGATCTAAATCAATGTGCACACTTGAATATTGTGACGACCAATCAACCAGAATAATATGAGTTCCTAAGTAAAATGTGTACAACAGGTATTTTAAAGACCTAGTAGGTTATTAGCATTATGTAAGAGAACGAAGAGTTGAGGATAGTAATCTGTAATACAATGTTTACTTTATACAAGGCAGTTGAAATTACGATATTTTGCAATTGTACTACTTGAATAAGATTATGAATATTCATACAAATTATTTATGAATTAATTGTAATCTAAGCAATGCTACAATTTGTAGCTGTTAAGCACATCAGCTAAAGATGTGAGATTAGATCGCACAGAAATTAATGGATAAAGACTAAGCGGTTGCGTTCATTTGTTAGTGAAATATCCTACTACTATTTACATGTACATACATCCATTCGCACTAAATTTTAATGGAAAATTTATTTCAGTTAACTCATAGACTTGTCATATCTGCTCTCTTAACAAATTTATTTCGCTTCCTATAGAAAAAGCGACTAGTGTTGGGTACACTACATCTATTTTATGAATAAACAATATTTATTTATTTATCTGAACACATAAATATGGGTACAAGAGAGCGCCAATATATATGCGCCACACAAAACAATGAGAAGGAAAAAGAAGAAAGGTAGGGAGCGAAAAAAAGGAGAACGGTAACGAAAAGATTGGTATAAGGTAGTATAATAATAATAATAGTAATAATGGGGGAACGGAAAGTACAATCAGAAGAAATCCTTCAGTTAAGGAAGATACAACCACTTTTTACGAAGAAAGTAAAATGAGGTTACAGCAGGATCGCCACTGGCTTCTATTCTGAGCCATATCTGATAACGTCTCTAGCCACTGTGTAGCACCGTCTCTCGGACCCCAGCCAGGGAGTCGTGAAGGACCAACACGAGCCAGTCCTTTGCAGCTTTCTTTCATACCACGACACCATGTCATGTACTGACCATCTATCCGCTTTTTACAACCAGTCCCAGAGTTGGCAAATAATGCACGACGTGGAATTCTCTGGGACGACATTCGGAGAACATGTCCAAGCCACCGAAGTCGGTGTTTCAAGATGGTGACACCAATTGCATTATCGTCTCTGTGCCCGAACACACGATGCCGAACCTCTGTATTACTGACATGGTGTTGCCACTGGATGTCAGCAATCCTTCGGAGACAACGATGATCGAACACAGAGAGTCGTCTAACGTCCTCAACTCGGAGAGGCCAGGTTCCACAAGAATAGAGCAGAACTGCTCTCACCGACGTGTTGTAGATCCGAACTTTTGCAGCCAGACTAACATCACGAAGGCGCCAAAGATGGCCCAGATTGGCATAAGCCACTCTGACTTTCACTATACGTGCTTTGATCTCATCACTCACTTCCCCACCAGCACTTATGCAGCTACCCAGATACACGAACTTCTCGACTACTTCTATTTGCTCACCATCCAGAGTCAGTACAGAAGTAGAATCCTGCCAGTCTTGTAGAAGTATTTTGCACTTCGAAGGTGCAAAGCACATACCATACCTACGGACACTGATTGCCAACTGATTAAGTGCGCATTGCATGGCTTGTGTATTATCGCACAGTAAGACAATATCATCCGCATACTCAAGGTCGAGAAGTCTTTCTCCAGACAGCAGATCCGCACCACCACTACTAACATCCATCAGAGCTGTTTCCACAATGTCATCGATGGCAAAGTTGAAGAGGAATGGTGAGATTGGGCAACCCTGCCTAACCCCACTGTCCGAATCTAACAATGGATAAAGGTGGCTGTATGCCCTCACTCTGCCTGAGGTGTTTGTATATAGGGCCTTTAGGATGTTAATAAATTTCTCAGGCACACCTTTCTTCAACAGAAAATCCCAGAGAACAGGCCTGTCCAACGAATCGAAGGCAGCCCTGATGTCAAGAAACACTACGATTGTTGGCCTTTGATAAGTATGGTGGTGTTCTAACATTTGGCGGAGGGTGAAGATATGATCAATACATCCTCGACCGGAACGAAACCCAGCCTGCTCCTCGCGAGTCAGTCTTTCGCGGGTTTTGAACAACCTACGAAGTATGACGGAAGCCAACAGCTTGGACGAAATCGGAAGTAGACTTATCCCCCGATAGTTGTTACAGGAACGACGTGAACCCTTTTTAAAGATAGGGACAACTATCGACTCATTCCATGACGTTGGTACACTCTCTAGTTACCAAACCTTTGCAAACAACGTTGTCAATTCCTTTGTCAGGAAGTCACCACCGTCTTTAAAAAGAGCCGGAGGTAAGTCATCTGGGCCAGGTGATTTGTAACGCTTCAAGAGTTGGAGTTCCTTGCGGACTTCCGCCTCATTTGGTGGATCAGTCGTCACCGGCCATGGAAGGCAGGACAGTCTGACCGATGTTGCCGGAGCAGCAGGCCAGTTGAACTGCCCTTCGAAAAATTCTGCCCACCGTCCAAGACGTCGATGGATGTTAGTGATTGGCATCCCCACATCCTCGCAGATTTTTTCACTCACACCAGACTTCTTGCTGCCAGTGGCTCGGATGAGCTGGGAGAGCTTCCGGCAATTACCAGATGCAGCTGCTGCTTCCAGCTCATTAGCACGCTCCGACCACCAGATTTCTCGATCCTTACGCAAGCTTTTCCCAATTTACTTACGTAACATCCTTCGTTTTTGGTCAAACTCACGGTCACCTGGAGTAGACCGACGGGCTTCAATGAGTTGTAAGGAACCAGAAGAAACCTGGTACTTATAAGCGGGACGTTTCGCGAACCCACAAGTGACTTTACTCGCCATTGTGATGGCGTCATGCAATTGCAACCAATCCTCACCCATACTTTACGGTGGAATGGTGGCCAGCCCAGAAGCTAGCTCGATTCGATACATACTAGCAATAGGAGTTACAACCAACTTGTTGACATCATTCCTCTGAAGGCGGTCACTTCGTTGGCCACTGAGAAGTAAAGTAAAATTGGCGCAGACCAAGGCATGTTCAGAGTCCAGTCAGGTACTCCAAAAGGAGCGGCAGTCTTGTACACAACCATGCCAGCGGTAGCTGATCGCGATGTAATCAATCTGAGTCCAGGCTTGAGGTGCGGAGGGAGGACGCCGGTTGGCACATCGGCGATGACTGTGCCGAAAGTTAGTGCTAGCCAGAAACAGGTTGTGGTCTGCGCACAGTTGCAGTAGACGGTCCCCATTATCTGTCCTGAGACCAACAAGTTCCCATCGGCCGGCTAAACGACTCTCTTCTGTGCCTAGATGCCCGACCTGAGCATTCAAGTCTCCGGCTAGTACTACAATATCTGTCGGACGCACTTTCTGGAGAAGAACTGCTAACTGGCGTTAGAATTCATCCTTGAATGCATCCGGGCTGCAATCTGTTAGGGCATAGGCGGAGATGACGAAAAGACATCGTTTCTCACGCCGATTTCTTCTCACTTTGATGGAACTCTCTAATCTAACAGCACATAACCGACTGTTAATGGGGATCCAATCGATTAGTGCTGCCTCAGCTCTAGCGCTTAGTCCGACACCAACGCCAGCAAGACCAGACGAAGATGCCATATAGTCCCCGTATAGACGCACGTGAGACAAGCTTTTCTAAGCAACAGGTGGAGAGCGGATTTGTAGTACTTCACCACAGTCTTGAATAAGGGTCTCGGGTAGACAGCAGACATCGATATTAAGACTTTCTAAGGACATAGCCAGCCCTATCTGTTGTCCAACCTGCATAAGTGTGCGAAGGTTGAAGGCAGCCAGTTTGAATGATGCACGTGGTTTCATTAAAACTGATTCAGTACTCATATTCGGTGGTAACATACAATTTTCAACCGGGCAGTGACTCGAGAACGTTTAGATAGAGTCGAATTTCCACCATAGGCGAGCTGCTATATAAGTCGAAAAATAAGCATAGACAGATTAGGAATAAAAGAGGGTGAATAAGTGACGTGGTAAATAATAATACTAATACTAATACTAATACTAATACTAATACTACTACTACTACTACTACTACTACTACTACTACTACTACTACTACTACTACTACTACTACTACTACTACTACTACTACTACTACTACTACTACTACTACTACTACTACTACTACTACTACTACTACTACTACTACTACTACTACTACTACTACTACTACTACTACTACTACTACTACTACTACTACTACTACTACTACTACTACTACTACTACTACTACTACTACTACTACTACTACTACTACTACTACTACTACTACTACTACTACTACTACTACTACTACTACTACTACTACTACTACTACTACTACTACTACTACTACTACTACTACTACTACTACTACTACTACTACTACTACTACTACTACTACTACTACTACTACTACTACTACTACTACTACTACTACTACTACTACTACTACTACTACTACTACTACTACTACTACTACTACTACTACTACTACTACTACTACTACTACTACTACTACTACTACTACTACTACTACTACTACTACTACTACTACTACTACTACTACTACTACTACTACTACTACTACTACTACTACTACTACTACTACTACTACTACTACTACTACTACTACTACTACTACTACTACTACTACTACTACTACTACTACTACTACTACTACTACTACTACTACTACTACTACTACTACTACTACTACTACTACTACTACTACTACTACTACTACTACTACTACTACTACTACTACTACTACTACTACTACTACTACTACTACTACTACTACTACTACTACTACTACTACTACTACTACTACTACTACTACTACTACTACTACTACTACTACTACTACTACTACTACTACTACTACTACTACTACTACTACTACTACTACTACTACTACTACTACTACTACTACTACTACTACTACTACTACTACTACTACTACTACTACTACTACTACTACTACTACTACTACTACTACTACTACTACTACTACTACTACTACTACTACTACTACTACTACTACTACTACTACTACTACTACTACTACTACTACTACTACTACTACTACTACTACTACTACTACTACTACTACTACTACTACTACTACTACTACTACTACTACTACTACTACTACTACTACTACTACTACTACTACTACTACTACTACTACTACTACTACTACTACTACTACTACTACTACTACTACTACTACTACTACTACTACTACTACTACTACTACTACTACTACTACTACTACTACTACTACTACTACTACTACTACTACTACTACTACTACTACTACTACTACTACTACTACTACTACTACTACTACTACTACTACTACTACTACTACTACTACTACTACTACTACTACTACTACTACTACTACTACTACTACTACTACTACTACTACTACTACTACTACTACTACTACTACTACTACTACTACTACTACTACTACTACTACTACTACTACTACTACTACTACTACTACTACTACTACTACTACTACTACTACTACTACTACTACTACTACTACTACTACTACTACTACTACTACTACTACTACTACTACTACTACTACTACTACTACTACTACTACTACTACTACTACTACTACTACT